TATACCCATGCCACGTCGACAGTCGCGAGAATTCTTTATCAACATATAGTCGGACTGACTACCTGACAGCTAGGGATTTATATTGTTGAACTGTCGTTCAACGCGGGGGAGAATGTTAAATGTTATATTATATGAATTGTATAAATTTATTTGTTTGTATTACTTTGCTTGTAATAATTGTTTATATTGTATCAAATAATTTGTTTGAAATACATTTTAATGTAAAAAAAATGACTTTGTCAATGCAATGCCCAAAACTCGTCACACGCTTTTGTTTGTACATATAAACAAAAGCGTCAAATTTTGTTTGCAAGAAAATGCATTCTTGCAGTTTGTAACAAGTTCATTGTTTGGCATGCATGGTCAAGGGTATTTTAGTTAATTTATTTGTTGTAATTGATTGTTAATTTTTAAATAATACAGCATATATAGCCCTAGTCAAAAGTTTTTACACAACGAAAGTTTTTGTACATATTGCATTAAAACCTGTTTTTATTGTTGTTGTTAGACGTATTTTGCAAAAAAATTTTTTGTTGTCACTTAGTTTTTTCTATACAGAACCAAAAAAAAAAAAGAATTGGAGTCAGATCGAATTACAACTAATTTCTTGGTTACTACAATTTTCCTGAATAATTTCTGAAATTTTGAAATTTCTAAATTTCTGTAGTTTGTGATAAAAGCTAATGGCTGTACTTACTTAAAGCAAATCACAGAAAAAATGCTAATTAATTAAATAAAAAAAGACCTCGACTAGAAAAGAAAATGATTGAGGAAACAACAAAAATTTCACGAGTGATATTTCAACGGACATTTATTGACCAATAAATTATTAGGTTTATTAAATGTAATAAAAAAACTACAAGTATGTACTAAATAATATATTATATAAATCTGTTAATAATAAAAAAAAAACCAAATTTCAACAAATCCCATATTTTCTTCGTTAGCATCGAAAGCAAAAAAAAATGTTAATGTTTATTTTGGGATGCACTTCTATTCCTTGTCGTCTAATGTTGTTTTCCTCTCTATTTTTGTTCTAAATTTTTTTCTCTTTAACCAATACTTACTTATTCATACCAGAAAAAAATACAGGTACTCACCGCAGCTGTTGTGATGACGTCATTCGCTCACTGCTGTTCACTGCTAAACGTTAAATTATAATTTATTAATTAAACAAAAAAACAAAAAAAACAACAAGACTGGATAAAGTTTTTCTGATTAAAGTTTATTTTTCTTTTAAACAAATTAACGGCAAACGAACTTATATCTAATTTATTAAGGTACTAAAAAGATAAAAAAAAAAACAAAAAAAATTTAACTCAGTTGATTTAACTAAATTTAATACCTTACTTTATAATCTAAGTTTCAACAAGTACCTCTTATCTGAATATATATATTTCTGATTTTTTTTTTTGAGAAAAAATTTTTTTTGTAACAATTTGATAGCATAAAATTTATCTCTGAATAAAAAAAACGAAGTCAATTAAATTATTCTAGTTTAATGCACTATTTCTCTGTTCAGCCTTTCACAATAAATAAAAATGGTTAATGGATAAATATTTTTTTCCCTGTTTAAATGTATATATTTATATGTGACAAATCTAATGATAATAAAAATAAATTTTTGAAATTTAACATTTGGTGATTTTCTGCCGTTCTGGTTTTCTTTCCCTAAATAATATGGCTACCATTTGACAGTCCATTGTCTTAACCGTATATTTGATATTTGCCAATGTTGTGAATTTAAATATGCCAATGTCGTGAATTTAAACTTTTTGAATTTTTAATTTCTTTCTTTGAAAAATAAATATTTCTTTGAAATGAAAACTATACGGCACCGATCACAGAGTTCCACAAATTCCTTGTCTGTATCCTCTTTATAAATTATTTTAGTAAACTTCACTTTGTTACAAAATTTGACTTTAAATTTATATGCTAATGTGAGTTTTGGTACGTAAGCTTATAATAAATGCATTAAATATTATTAAATCATCAACTTCATTTCATTTCATTTTTTTTTATGTGCCACTGCATGACTATAACCATTTTTTTCAATTTATACAATAGCTGGATTCCGTTGAAATCATTATTGTGGGCTAGGCGTGATGTTTTTAGGTAATATCAGTGAAATATTCACCATTCCATAATTTTAATATTTTGTTTACTCTAGGTTTTTATTACTGTAAGATCAATTTTATTTAGACAAAAAAATTGATCATTACATTCCCTCAGTACTTCCGACGAAAACTGATTTCTAGTGTAGGGACGAGATTATATTCACAACCATTTTTCCTTATTTTCTTTTCTTGTTTATATTTCGTCTTCGTCAGCTTCACTATTAGAACCTTCACGATGTTAGTACAATTATCGCTTACGTGTGCTGTTTTCGTGGTTTCAGTGTCCATATCTTCTACTGTCACAATTACTGGTGACTGGAAACACTTCACTTTGTATGGCCCACTGAATTGAACCTTTTAGATTTAGTGGTATGATTTTCTTATTACATACTGCAGTTGCTGGTGAAGATGTTGATGTCGCATAAATCCATTGATTTTTGTGATTCAATGGAATCCAAGTCAGAGTGTTGACAGTGTGTTTCAACCGACAGTTTGGTATTGTGTGGTTGTTGAATATGTTGATCTCACACGCACATACTTCGGACCCAAAACTGTGTATTTGCTCACTCATGAGCAGCTCAGGCTCAGGAGCAAGAGCCCAATTCTTATGTGAGCCCAAAATTTTCTCATGAGCGTGAGCCCATAATTGGCTCATATTAAAGAGCTGCTCACCAGCGTGAGCCTTCAAGTTGCTCATATTGAAGAGCTGCTCATGAGGTCTCACGAGCCGGGAGCTCACAAGCTCAAGTGTTTAATAAAAAGCGATTTATTAGTTTATTTGCTTTAAGAAACCACCAGAACTATTGAACAGCTAGCTCATCGGCACGCATGAAGATTCTAACCTGCTTGTAAAGTCCATTCGCATATTCAATTCATGCTTCCAAATGACTCTGTTCAGAGCAACGAAAATAGTTTACAATACTGCGATAAATCTGCGTTTATAATCAAAGGCCAAGTGTATTACAAAGTAGGTTCATTGCTGCCAATGCCAAACGAATCATATAATGTCGATAGATACAGTTTGTGATGTCAACGAAGCTGTAAATTTTTAGACTCACTGGATTTTCCAGACATGCCACCATACCTTCTACGACTGTAAGTTGGATTCTACTTGGGTTATTTTATTTCGGAATTTTAACCCATCAGTTTAATTGGTTATTAAAAAATCGAAGAAAAACTTTATCGAAGCCACCATTTTAAATGGCAAGTTCTGAGACGAAAATGTTTTACTGCCACGAATTCCAATAATTCCCACAGACGTGCCAATTGAATTCAAACGCGTTCAATTTTCTATTAGATTAGCATTCGTAATGACCATCAATAAGTTGGAAGCTCAAACGATGTCTGTTCACGGGTTAGATTTGAACGCACCATGTTTTTCACACGGACAACTATACGTAGCATGTTCTCGCGTGGGCCAACCATTAAGCTTATTTGCGTTGGCTAATTATTTGCGATGGACTGTAAAAAATATCTTCCACTGTGTTGCACTTCGAAATTTATATTGATGTACTTTATTTTTCATTTTTATAATTTAGGATAAAACATCACTTTTTCAATTAAACTTTTAAGAGATCAAACAATGAATATGTCTGTTACTTTAATGAAATACATTGAATAAAGGAAACAAATGGTTGGTGTTTTTATCGGCGGTCATCGTCTACAGCGCTCAATTACTCTTTTTATCATAGAACTCATCCCCACAAACCTACAATACATTCGTTATCATTTATTTAAAAAAAAAATCACTAGAAATAATTTATACGGCAAAACAACGTTTGACGGGGTATCTAGTAATTTATATTTTAGTGTGGTGATTCTTGTTAAGTATTATTTTATAAGCCAAATACTCATCGTCAGTGGTCTTAGGAAATAATCGAATTTATAATTAGTTTATAGTCCGTATATAATTTGTTTGGACTGCAAGTGCCAGGCTTAGAACTCGTGCCTGTCAAATTAGAAGCGATGACTTATCGTGTTTATCCACAAGTAGCCAAGGCTACACAAACGTTCAGTGCTCTAGTTCCAGTTTTTTTTTTTTGTCATTTTTTTTTATTTAATTAGTGACATTAACCAAAGCACTTGCCCTATTGCACTATTGAATAATTGATTATTGAATAACTATTTTTGCTGTTTTTTTTCTTCTTTCTTCGGCGTCCAAACTACAACTTTTTTCAAAATACCTTTTTTATAAACAAAGACTTGACTTTGACAGATGTCAAAGACATTGCAATCGCCCATGATTTCTATCACTATATACGTAATTGAATTTAATATTAATTATATTTTTTTAATATTTATAAGAAGCAGTTAGCCGGCACACGGCTAAAGCTGTAGGCTTGATATAAATATATAATAGACCTGTTATAAACTTCTTTATAATGCAAAAAATTTAAAATGATATATAATAAAGCTAAAATTACTAGTATCTTATACCACTAAATAAACTATTATCAAATGATAAACAATGTACAATATAAAAAAGATACAATAAAGTTCATACAACCAGTATTAGATCTATTATAATAGTAACAGGTAGCTTGGTACTTGCATTCTCAAAAAATTATTTACGAATAATTATATATAAAAAATAATTCCAAGACCACTGATAAAATTGTGAAATGTATGTACCTCAATACCTGTTATAATAGCTTTCATTGTTAAATACTTTTTCCGTAAAATATATCGTTATGGAGTTGCATTCGAAATGATGTTTTTAATACCTGTTAAGCTTAGCAATATAAAAACAAATGGTAGCTGTATAGAACTTATTATATTGACGTGTGGATAAGTCTATAAGACATTTCAATAAATGAGACTCGAGTCATTATTATAAACATAATACATATAAATTTTTTTTTTATAACATAATTTTTTACTTACCACAACATATCGCAAAGAACCTAGTTCATGGGATACATCCATCATATTCTGCTATTCACGATTTTTATTCGAATATAAAAATTTGTATTTAAATGTAATTTAATATAATAATTATTTTAGTGTTTATAAAGTTTGGTTGAATGCAGAAAATGTAAATTCTTTAAGTTGCAAATTTTGTCGTAAAAATATTAAACTTAAAACTCTGACTGCAAATGTAGCAATTATTTTATTTCATTTCAAAACATTCAATTTGCATTCACATATTTATAAGTTTATATTACAAATAAAAACGGATAAAAATTTTTACACTACTTCTAAATACAAGTTATGTTGTTTCTATATTATATTTTTTAGTGTCGAATTTTTGTTTATATAACTCAACTAATTTCGTAAAATACACTCTTTTCGCACTTTTGCATAGCAACAGAATATTTTTTAAACATATACGAATTTTATGGCAGGTAAAAATTGCAGCAAAAACAGTAGAATTGAAATACCCACAGTAGATGCCAAAATGTTATCATTTATTTTTGAATTTGAACTATTTATTTTGTTGTAGTATTATTTCAAGCACTTATGAAGCAGTGACAATGAAGCACAATGCGAACGTTGACTGTTTTTCCGTTGAAATTTTTGGTAAGAGTCAAGTTTTTCTGAGTTTCCTACTTTTATAATTTTGATTGCATCGAAAAATTATTCTCGTGAGCTTGCCAAAATATTAGAACACTGGTCACCATAGCCATTATCACATATTTATTCTAAATTTTTTACATTTTCTCTAATTTTAAAATAAAACATGCACTGAGAAAAGTTTCTATATTTTAAGTTCTGATCAGCAATATTTCAAAAAATTTAGGTAAACGCTCAACGATTGCGCAAATAAATTTTTAATTTGAATACACTTCCTGAAAAATATTAATATTGATCTTTAATAATAAATAATTCGAAAGATTTTTCAATATTTTATTTTTACGAGCATTATTGTAAGAAATTATAACTTTAAAGTATAAAACATTTTACCTATTTTAGATAAGACAGCAATTCTAAAATTTAATCTTCTTATAATTTATATACTAAATAATATAAAACTTTAATTTTATTTTTGTCCTTATATATCCTGTTTAAATCCTTTTAAGTTTCAAAGAATTTCATATAAGTTATGTGTTTACTCGTTTTATGTGTACTCGTATTAAAAATATTTGGTTAAAAAAATTACGTTATGCTTTATATATTGTCCATATGTACTAACTGTAATATGTATGTATTAAGTGTAAAAAAAATTATTTTAAAATAGAGATCAATTTTTTGATGATTCAAAATCGATTTACGTATTGGTCAGTACCAAATTTGTTAAACCAATCTTCTTTGTTATATTCTGATGTTTTTAGAAGTTTTTATTTTGACAAAGGTTTTGTGCACCTAAGAGAAAACCACATATTTTTGTTTGGATATATTATGATAACTAATAAATAAATAAATTGAAACGTTATATCACCATATATATATGTATTTAATATATAATGTACAAGTTTACTTGATTTTAGTTTGTCATTATCTGGTTTAGAAAAAGCATATAGACATATGAAGCTTTGAAATTGTTTTGATTCTTCCCTATTTTAATTTCTAGATCTTATAGGCAACTAAACACAAAGACTGACCAAATGCAAACAATCTTCTGCTTCCATTTGTTGTAAAAATAATATTTTACCTTCATCCATTGGTTTTGTTATTGCAAACACTAACAAATTCCGAATTATGTAATGTATTGTTTTATTAATAAAATATATGAATTCATACTTGCTTATTGTGTCCACAATTTTGTTTATCAATACAAACATAAGTTTTATATCGATTGCATTGCAAACACATTTGCTTAGTACCCATTTATACCAAATACTTGCGTTGACAACAGTTTCAAGATTTTAAGTGTTCACTGTAAATACATATGTATATCGTGTATAGTCTTGGCTCACTGCGCTAAGGGATTGCTTAATCAACGGAAGAGATAATTACACATGTAGATGACTGATGTAACAAATCTGCTCAACACTTTAAAATATTCTAGTATACTTTTTAAATTAAATTATGTATTTTGAAATTGTTGAAGCTAAAAAATTGTATTCATTATTATTCTGGAAAAATATATTTGATATTCGCGTAATGCAAATATTCTTAAATCCTTAAAAAAACATGAAAATTTTTTCCGTCCACAATACGAATTGAGTTGGTAAATACACTTCATACATACACATACACTGACTATTTTCGTACTAAACATTAGCGCTTCGTTCTACCTTGAACGATCCCCTAGGAAACTTGCTGCTAAAAAATGTGTGCGCACGGTGCGGTAAGATACAAACACTCAATACGCCACTACACAAAAATGACAACAACACAATTCCATGGATTCTACTATAAAAAAAACTGCTTATTATTATAACACAGTTCGTTAACATTGTGTTTGCAAAACCAAAAAATGTTACAAAAGTTTATTAAATGCACAATAAAAACGATTTAATTTTGAAATAAAAAAAATTAAAAAGTTTACAAATTAACTTAACACTTTTCCACATATTTATCTTAAAATAATCAAAAGTATCATAAGAACAAAAAAATAATCCACAAAAATAACAAAAACACCAAATTTGTAGTATCAACATTATGTTTGCAATTTTGCAATTTCATATTTTTAACGGGACAAAATACCGTTAGATGTGTCTGGTTTTTGTTTTTTGTTTTAATATTCTGCATAAATTTTTCAGTTTTATTATTAATTAATAAACCACAGTGTGTTATGTGAACGAATAACTAAACGCACGTAATTATATATGCCAGGCTAAAGAACAAATTCAAATAATCAGCCTTTTCGAAGGCTCCCAAGTATGGCGAAAAACAGAAAATTGCTGGCCTATACTGGCCGAAATGTACGCAAAACAACACTATTTTCTCTACATCACATCGGCCAGTAAAAAAAAATGTTACCGAAATAAGCGCAATAAGTGAACTATTGTGAACCTTCATTGGAAATTCCAACGAATATTGCAATCATACAAAACAAAAATTCAAACAAAATTCTAAAATTTCATAAATTTGAAAATTGGAAAAAAAAGAAAAATTTCAGTGTTTTATTTTGAATTTTCAATATTTTTACCATTCGTTTTTATTTTCAATGTATGTTAATTATTTATTTTTATACAAAATGAAATTTGTTGCATTGTAGTGTCGATTAATTATTTAATTAAAACACCGTTCAATTCAAGTCAATTATTCATACTGATTTTATTAATGTATTTCATTCTTGAACTTACTTGGACGGTAGTGTGCACATAGCGAAACTTGCGAGCTCAGCATTTATGCCTCGCACAAGACGTTCAAGGTCTTTTAAATAAAAGTACGATATCATATTCGTCTTGCATCAACTTTTCACAGTTTAGCGTGGGAATAGAAAATAACGCGGTCAGCAAATAAGTCAAAGCATGTACACACTACAGCATTATTCCACTATTGCGATTTGTTAAAACATAACACTTGACAGATTGCAACAGTGATGCCAATGTCTCGCATAACGAATATAAACCAGCATACATTTTTTTTTATCAATACAGTAGTGTGCACCGAAAAGGCCTAATATTGTGATAGAATATTATAATTATTACCTCGGCTAATTTGCTAAGGAATTAAGTCAAATGTTTAATATTAAGTTAAGAACAATTTATAATATCATAAACAGAGCAGAAAATAAGAATCGCATTAGTTTGAAACCAGCAGGCCACCGCATTAAAACATTGTCCGATAGCCATATAAAAAGAATATTGCGAATAATTGATAAAAATTCTCGAATTTCTTTACGATCATTGGTATTAGATCTGGAAAAACAATTTAATGTTCTTGTTAATCATGAGACAATAAGAAAAGAGCTATAACAAAACAATTATTCACAATTATTCGTGCTCTACCACGAGCTACCTATTTTAGCTCGTTGACATTGTGGACATGTTTTTAACATTTTCGCTACATCCCTCTTAATATTTGGCCAGACAAATCGTTTACTGATTAGTTTTGCTGTGGACTTGCTATCGGGTTGACATATATTATGTCTATATATTATGCCTACGAAATTCATCTGTGATCGAAGGTCGCGCATGTTTTGTTGAGAAATCACACGCAATGAGATTCGATGAACTAGGTAGATGCACTAATTTAAGGTGAAGCGAAGTCTTACCTTGTGATAAGAGTTGTTATAGCTCCAGGTCACTTTGTTGGCTTTTTGATAACATATCAAAGTCAATCTGCTTTTCCCCCTGTATTTCGTCAATTCGTGAAAGAAAATCAGCAACGCTATTGTCTTTTCCAGGAAAATGTCTGATATCAGTAATAAACTGACCTGTGTAATCCAGATGACGAGGTTGTCTGGGCGATGCTTTCTCAGGATTTTGCTGAAGTGCGAAAATGATGGATTTATGATCAGTCAACACCGTACAGTTCCTGCCTTCTACTATGTGTTTGAAATGCTTAATTGCTTGATAAATGGCAAGAAGTTCTATGCCATAGGTGCTGTACCGTCGTTGTGTGTCAGTTAACCGCTTTGAATAAAATCCAAGTGGTTCGAGTCGTCCTTCACGGATGTGATGCAGTGCAGCTCCCACTGCGGTATTACTCGCATCGACATGTAGAATGAGATTGGCTTCTGCTGTTGGGTGTGCAAGTGAACTGGCATCAGCAAGCATTTTCTTATAATCAACGAATGCTGATTCGGCTTCTTTTGTCCACTTAAGTGTTGCGCACTGCTTGGCTTCGGAAAATTGAGAATTTCTTCAACCCTTTCTTTTGGCTGACGAATGCCATTTTGATCAATACTGTGACTGAGAAAAGTAACTTCCGTCTGAGCAAACATGCACTTGGTAATGTTGAATTTTAGACCGTATTGGTATAAACGCTGAAACACTGTGCATGTGTGTTGAATGTGTTCGGCTTCATTCTTAGACGCGATGCAGATATCGTCTATGTAACAAACCGTGAAATCCAAACCGCTAAATACTTGGTTCATGAACCGTTGAAAAGTTTAAGCCGCATTGCACAGCCCGAATGTCATCACATTAAACTCGAACAACCCAAATGGTGTGATTATAGCTGTTTTCTTCCTGTCTTCGGGTACTATTGGTACACTGAAGTAAGCGCGTTCTAGGTCAAGTGTGGTGCAGATAGCTTTGCAGCTAAA